CCTATAGCTGTAGAGCATGAATAAAAGTTCAAAGTAAACATAAGACAGTAAAGCATAGACAAACACATGCACACGTCTACAAACTGACATAAAAGTGCAGTCACGCGCACCAAGAGAAAATGGATCGGTGAATGCTTTTGTTTATCGAAGAAACTAAATGGGCCAATAAAACTAAAAGAAAAAAATATTTTCCAATCGAGCATAATAGAAAGCCGACTCACTTCGAGAATGAGTTAGTGCTGAAGCTGCCGTCTCGGACGCTGCGATGGGATTCGCCGTACAAAAGACAATTGAGTTGCAATGGCTTCATGAAATCTGAAGGCTCAGTATGTGGAAATGGAGATTGATGCTCGAGTACGATTGAACCATCTATATTGTCAGTCGCAATGGCGTCGCGAAATACCGCGGGCTGAGCTGTATACCAGTTATTAAAGTGCTCATTGGTAACCGTTTGGAGAGCTGCTGCTGTTGAGTTATCCAGGTTATTAAGTAGGCTTTCGGCACGCGAAGTCAAGCCTGCCAGCCAGGACATGGTTTACTGTAACTAGATGGAAAATTGGTTAAACTCTAAGTTGACTCCTAACTGGTCAATCGACAAATCAGTCTGTTTAGAAATTGATTTATAGACTTTCTGTTCTATTCCTTATAATATTCTATGGTTGACCAAAGTATAAATAAAAAATGGTGGCCATTTTCTGAAACTGAAGGGTAAAGAAGAATGAAAATATAAGTGCTGGATGCAATTTGGAAAAAGTGCAAGAAATACTACTCGGAGTTTTTGAAGGAGAAAGACAAGAAAAACGAAAGATAGTACATGTGTCCAGGGCGATAATTGCGATTTTAAGGTCAAATAAAAAAATTTATAAAATGCTGTCACATTAAAGCTAGCAACACCTGCACCGAAAAGTGTAAAAGCTGAAGAATATAGATTAGTCGAAAGTATGAAGACCAAAATGGTGTGGCCGAAGTCTCATTTCGTTGTATAGAAGTTGTTTCATCGTTATCGCAACTTGGTCATAATGGTAAAAGGACTTAGAAGAACACACCTAGTCCAGAGTTCATTGTATGCATGATCAACTAAAGAGTCTAACAGTGGACGCAATTCATTCGCAGACATTTTGCCGGAATCAAAAGTAAAACTTGCCAGTCTTAGCACCACACTACAACCCGTCAGAGACAAGTGAAGCCGATTATTTGATTAATTGTCTGCTAAACAGTTGTGGTATCTCTCCTACCCGCCTGGGCTAATCACCAATCATATGACCTCGTATCACCCCTTCACTATCACAATTTTTACTTCCTTATTAAGATGTTATGGTGTGCCCTTTTGAGTTGATTTAATGAGAACTCTCCACACCTCACACTGGCTTTCTCACCTCCCTCACTCACTTTCAACCTTGTGCTGGGAATGTTGATCAGAGTCTGACATATTGTCACGCAGTCCTCCTTCCATAGGTCTTATCAGTCTCCCTCTTGCCCCGTAGGATCCGTCTGCGATTGCTCTGGTTCAAGTATTTCACTCGAGCCCTGCCACTCTATCTCTGCTACTCTAGACGTTATTTCCCACACCGCGTCTGGGAGACTAACTTGAGGCTAAAGTTTTCGAATAATTCGCATGGTCAAGCCTTTGCTACATGGACCATGTCTATGGTAAAACAGGTCTACTGTCAGCCAACTAGCTCTAGTCTCCGCCGTGTATATCCAGTTTCTATCCATAATACCAAGTCTATGACCTCCTATGCCCTAGTCACTTGTGTGTCAATCCACAAATGTTGTTGCTCTATACGGAACCTAATCAAAGCAAGTCGTAGACTTAGTATTACGGATAGAAACAAGGTAGACACGTCAGAGACTAGAGCGAGTCTTCGTACCAATATGACTAAGTAGCGAAAATAAGATCAAGCAACTCTAACAGAAACTAAGTTTAAGTAAGGGCCTTGAAAACAAACTAGCCTAGCTCG